TGATGGACCGGCGATCTATACCTTGCGGATGGTATTCCAGTGGTTCTCGAGTGTACAGTACCTTCTGAAAACACTCGATGCCCTTTCACGATGTTCTTCTTCCCTACCCCCCACCACGTTCCTAAGCCGATGGGGCTATTCATGGCCCTGACAAGGCTAGCCTTTGAGGTGCATGACCTGTGCAACTGCACCACGACCGAGCCACGCATAGAAATGCCCCGTGAAACGATCGCTATTTCTGTTCATATTGCGTGCTCCCTTTGATCGTTACTCGCTATTTATCATACGCCACGCGTTACACTGTTACGCGCGGCCTGGTGCAATTAAGAAAAAAATATCCTCCTCTCCTCTCCTTTGAGAACGCTTTTTCGCGATCGAATCTCGCGACACATCCGACCTGAGGATCTTTTCGCTGCAATTATTCTTTTTCTACTTTAAATCGATGATTCGATAAGTCGATGATTCGTAAGATCGAAAATGCTTGATCCTTCCTTGATTATTCGTTTCAACACTTTATAAATATTAATAATATTCGCTTCGTCCTTTTAAATTTTCCACGTAAATTTTTAATGAATATTTTCATGCTGGTCGAACGTGTCTTTCTCATTTTCTTTTTTTTTTTCTTCCTTTTCATTTTGGCCAAGGTTCTCGCCACGCGGGGGCCCGGATTCGTGGTCCGCAGATGGTCCAAGGCTCCCCTTTTCTTTCTCTCCCTTCTATTTTTCTCCGTACACCACGACCTTACGGAGAAGCGCGTCATTTTTTCGCTCGCGAATAAACCACGTGCTCGGTTCTGGCAACGGAACAACTGTTGCCAACTCGGGCGAGATATCGTGCCACCGCGATGCGAAACGGCCGCTTCTTTCTTCCGAGGGATCCTCGCTTATTTATATCCCTCTTTGCCTCGAATTCGGGCCGCGACGTAACGCGAATCGTTACGGGAAAAGAAAAATAGATTTATCCTCGTGAGAAATGTTTCGTAACGATGCTCGATACAACGTTTGAAACGAAGACCCCGACAGATGTTTTAGAATTAAAAAAAAAAAAACGTTTTCCACGGTGGTAGCGATAATTCCACGACCGAGTCTATCCATTTTGAACGATTTTGAATCGACCTCACGGCGAGAGCCCATCGACTGGATTTCTTCGCCCACACCTTTTTCCATTCGGTTAAATATCTTAACTGTAAGGAGAGATATGTCTCGGAGAGATATGGTCTCGGGGAGAGATAAAATTGAATTTCGAAATTTAGAAAAGACTCCCATGGAAATCGAATTCTTGGCAAGATTTCGTGCAGCTACAACGTGTGATTCGATGATATCGAAGATAAATAGATTGAAAAGAAGCTCGGCTTGAGATTTAACAAATTTTAATTCAAATTCATCTCCCTCCTTTTACTTCTCTAATACAATAAACACTGCTCAACTGCATTAATCTAATTTTTAGATACGAAGGAAACGACCTAAATCTCTCGTTTATTTCTCTGCCGAAAATATGCTTCGAATATCACAAGATCCCTCTCTGAAAAGAAAAATCTATTTGCTCCGATCGAGGCAAAGAAAAATAAAACATTTTTCCGAATCTATTCGATCCACAATTTTCCCAAATTCGAATCCACTATATTTCCCTTTTAACCGCAGTTACGAGAACGAAGAAATTTTCGATTTCTCGCAACAGAAGCGCACCATTCTCTCGGCAGCCACTCGTCTTTGATCTCGCTCTTGTACCGGATACACTCGTTACGAGGCGGCTCTTTTCGAAACCCGCGCTCCGGCGCGGCAAGTGCATTCACACGAAGATAACCAACACACGGACGACGATCGTGGTTGGCCATCCTCGCCGCCATTGTCCAGCTCATTCGGTGGCCGATAATCGCGGAGAATATGAATCGAGCCGCGGTGAATGTTTGCCGAGCTTTATCGTATATACACGCGGCCACGCACGCTGCCGTTCATTGCGCGCCCAAGGGAGGGGAAGGAGGAGGGGAAAGGGTTGTTCAGGAGGAGTCAAATCACGTTGGTAATTCGCGAATTTATACCAGGAATGAAATCATCGACGGAAAATGTTGCCGATTTATCGTTTGAGGACAAACGTTCTCGAATAAACGACGACACACTTTCGAACTTTGCGGGCAAGAGAATCGTATTACGATTACGCGTTTTACGATTTATCGTTGTCTTTCGTGAAATCGAGTCTCGTTGAATCGTGCCAATTCTCTTTTGATTTTTTTTTTTTTTT